ATGATGCAGCTCTTATGGCTATTCTATCTAGTTTAAGGCCAAAGACACGATTCTGGTAGTCCGTTCATGCGGATGGACTTAAAACTTATCATGAATTTCTCGGTCATACCAAAAAACACATCGGAGCAGAGAAATCGACATCAGACCATAAAGAAGGAAAGACTAAGCTCCATCATACAGCTTAGTCTAAGGATAAAGAGACGGATAAAAGACACATGCCAAAACGTAGAAAAGATAAAAGAGAAATGGAACAATCCCACCCTTAACCAGAGAGGTTCTAACAATATTATCCTTCGAACACATCTTTAAAAGGGGTAATCATGCAAGTTGGAGATAAAAGACCTCTTCCCTTAAAGAAAAACATGGCGAGGTCCCGTCAAAATAGATACTAATAATATCACATGTCGGCAGGACACAACACAAACGATTTTCGGGATCTAAAGGAGCAGGTAGATGCCCTTGTCAATCGAGAGCAATTGTTTGTGTTTGTATCCAAATCAAGAGAAACAAACCAGACACCTCTTGTTCAACTACCCCATCCATATCAACAAACAAGCCTGCAGCCCGTCCCTAACCAAGAGCATAAATAAGAGTGTTGCTAGGAGGGAACCAACGTGCTGAAGGTTCAAGAAGGAAGTGTTGAAAACAGGCCAGAGATGCACGAGTCTAGCAAAATTATGAGGTAGGACGACATAAGTTATGTCAATGTACTCCATGACTTTGGAACAAATGGGGATCCAAGAAAAATACTTGCAGCATTATACTAGAAGATTGCAAGGCTTCACAAGCGAAGCCATTGATGTGCAAGACGGGTCTACGTCTCAGATCATGGGTTGTAACGTAATCCTGGAGAGACCCATATTGCATGAACTGAAAGCTACTACATCTATCCATCATTATTGCATGAAATTCCCTACGCCTGGTGGATTAGGTGTCAAACGAGGAGACCAAGTTGAGGCCAGGTCTTGTAACGTTGACCTACCTAAAATGGGGATAAACATGCTTCAAGAAGGTCAATATGATCGATCTAGGAAATTTCAGTTGAAAATACTTATTTTCACCGATCTAATCAAGATAGGTATCACTGATAAACATTGAAAAAGGCCCTGAAGATGACCGCTTTTGGGTTATTCTCAAAATAACAGGTGACGACTTTTAAATGATGGATTGATAACTGATTTTGTTATGTTTTCACGCCTTACACGTTGCTTTGGAAATAACGTTTTTCAAATTTTCCCGTGTTTGAATAACAGTTTTTGATGCCACAGAGGGGAATAGTTTGCCTTGTCTCTTTTGTGAATCTTCTTCATAGTTGTTGCCTTCGCGCTTTTAGACTTTGCCCAAAGGGAAATTCAATTTGCCAAATGAGTTTCTTGACAAGAATGATCAGAACTTTTCTGGGTGAGTGAGTGTTTAATCTTATGCATGTAAATGTGTTCAATTAGTGATTGGAAATTGAAATTCTCCCTCAAGATCATAATTTTTCTACTCGGAATCATTGAGTTATTGTTTAATTCTACGCATGTAATTGTGTTCCATTAGGGATTGGAAATCAGAGAATTTCATGAATTTCCTCCATTGAACTTCTCGATCATGATCAAAATTCTTCTACTTGGAATCATTGGATGGATAATTTATTCGATTTGACAAACCTAATTCACTTGAATTAGTGATGACATCGAAAAATTTGACGAATCAAAGCATTCTAACATGAATTTGTGGTAAGACAGGTCTACGTCTCAGATCATGGGTTATACAGGAATCAGTTATGGATCACCAACGCTTGCTTCAGCCATCAGCACCTTGATGCCGGCTGTCACTTCAGTGCTTGCCATCAGTTTTAGGTTTCTTTAACCATCAATGCTTTTCTTATCTCTTTCAGCTTTTCTTATGCTTTTGTCCCCGATATTTTTTTCTTTTTTTCCTGCAGCATGGTAGAAAATTTTTTTTCTTTTTTCTTTCATACATTTTCGTGCGCTAATGTTCTAAAGACCAACCCAGGTATGGAACGAAAAGCATGAAGGTAAAATTAGATCAACCAAAAACAAAAAACGGCTAAGTACCAACTTTTCGTAGTCCGTAGTGGCTACAAATTGTGCATGACATTGTAGCAAACAAGTTTGCAATTATAGCAATAACAACATATATTGCAAGTTAGCAAAACATAATTTTTAATAAAGATTAAATTATCAATTATTAAACTGAAGGGAAATTTGTGGCACAATGATGCTATGCCCATTGGCTTATTGAGTTGGCTCAACTGGAAATCAATGGAGGCCCAGCTAACTAAAAATCTGTTGTTTTAATTGGTGCAAGAAAACGTGATTTGTTTGAAGGCTTGAAATCGTGTTTCTCACTTACCTGATGAAATGAACGCCGATGGAGTCACCATGTGTCGCCTCCAACACCGTGGATTGGCGACTGTAGTGTGCCCCGATTAAATGGGCTTCTAGGGTTTGAGAGACTCACTTCTTGCT